CAAAGCTTTAGCCTCCTTGGCCTTCTCTGAGTTCCAAAGAGCAAATTTAATCACAGAAGTGAGAAAACAGTCAAGCAAGACAGAATAATAATAGTTTAGCCATAAAACAAAGTCAAGGACCTTTAGTTCCTCTTCAAGGGCTATAAATAATATCCTAAGCCATATCCTTGAGTTGTTTTGCAGATACTAAAACCCCCACCAGGTAGAAGAAGTTAGCTGCATGCTGACCACCAGCACACACAGACCCCAGACCGACTGGAACCAGAAGGTTGATGAATGAGATTCCTGAAATATCACCATTACCTCGCCATCAACCAACGAGAGAATTGTGCACGAGCTGATCATGCACCTTGTAACCCTCTCCCCCTCACACTGTCTTTAAAAACCCTTCCCTAAAAGCCATCGGGGAGTTCAGGTCTTTTGAGCATAAGCTGCCTGTTCTCCTTGCTTGGTGCCCTGCAATAAACGCTGTACTTTCCTTCACCACAACCCGGTATCAGTGGACTAGCTTTTTCGCGCATCAGGTAAGCAGACTAAAGTTTGCTTCAGTAGCATCTGCAGGACTGTGAGCTGTAAAAGTCAGTGACACAGAAGGAGGTTTCAAAAGGTAAGGACAAAACAGGCATCAGAATTTTTAAATTTCCTTTTAAGGAAGTAAGAGATTTTCCGATTACAAAAGTAACGCACATTGCTTTCTACAAAATGAGAAGGAGCATAAGAAAATTAACATGGGGTGGTGGTGGTGGTGGGATGAACTGGGAGACTGGGATTGACACCTATACACTAATATGTATAAAACAGATAACTAATAAAAACCTGCTGTATAAAAAAAGTTTTATAGACCAAAAAAAAAAAAAAAGAAAATTAACATAACCTATAAGCTCAGCACCCAAGTATAATTACAGCTAACGTTTCAGAGAATAGTCTTTTAGACTTCTTTTCTAACATAAATATTATATATCAAATTCTTCTGAAGAGTTTGCTCATAAAACATTTCTTATAAATTTTAATTACAAATCATGATTAAACTAAAACCTCTCTTCAAGGCATTCCAGGGCTGAATTTAGTTCTAACGTAGGCATGGCATTAGACTAAAAGGCTCTTTTTCAGACAATTTTCACCAATCAGGTCAATCAACCCCATGGTCTGGGCTCAGAAGGATGCGGATCTTTCAGACAAGAGTGTTCACAAAATCAAGGTAACTATCTTGCAGATACATACAAAAACAAGGGAGGAAAGCTGCATGTTTTTGTCTGTGCGTGTGTTTTTGTTTCAGACGGGCTTAACATATTTGGAGACATTGAAGCTATCTTCCAAACTTGACCTTCTAAAAGGGCAAAGGGATTTCCACTCATCTACACTTAAATAAACTTGATTCAGTTTTTAAAGGTATCAGATACCACCTCTATCATAGCAGATGGGAAGGGAGGTATCTCCTCTATAGTAATAATCTCGTTTTGTTCTCAGGACCAAAGAATTCCTTTGAAACGCACATAAAAGCACTGCTCAATCACTATCGGAGACAACAGCCATAGAACAAATGACAAAACCAAAATTGTTTCATAAATAGCCTCTAAGCAGCCTTTGGGTGAAAAATGCTGAACACTTCCCTGGTGAACAGGTCAATTTACTTCTTTATCCATCAGTGTCACCTGCAACACAGGTTCTCTTAGTAGGCTATCATAACAAAGTCTTATCCAGAAGCAAGCATCCTAGAGAGTCTTTTTTTTTTTTCTCCCCCGGTACGCAGGCCTCTCACCGCTGTGGCCTCTCCCATTGCAGAGCACAGGCTCCGGACGCGCAGGCTCAGCGGCCGTGGCTCACGGGCCCAGCCGCTCCGCGGCATGTGGGATCTTCCCGGACCGGGGCACGAACCCGTGTCCCCTGCATCGGCAGGCGGACTCTCAACCACTGCGCCACCAGGGAAGCCCCCTAGAGAGTCTTAATGAAGTAATTACACAGCTGGAAACTGATACCAATTACTCTAAAAGTCTTCCAGATGGAGATTAGTTCTACCATGCTGGGTGGCAGAAGATGTGAGCCTTCAACAAAGGACTGCCTGAAATCCTTCAGGAAAGCCTGGGGGATGCGTACAGTAGGCCTACAGCTCTTCTTCCCTGCATCTATACAAGATCCTTCCAACTGGCCAACGGTAAGAGGGATTCTCGGGTATTTACCACAAAATGGCATGCTGTGATATCTGGTGTCTAAAGTGAGAGATCACCTACCATGCCACAGAACAGACGTAGCTCCAGAACTTGCCAGAGACCTCAACCTCAAACTACCTGCCAACCGTGTCCTTTCAAAAGGAAGAACCAGGTGTGCGGAATGAGGAGTTATTTTTTAATGGGTTCAGAGTTTCAGTTTGAAAAAGTTCTGGGGATGGATGGTGGTGATCGTTGCACAACAATGTGAATGTACAATCCTTAATGCCACTGAATTATATGCTCAAAAATGGCTGAGAAGGCAAATTTTGTTTTGTTTGTTTATGTTACTTATATTTTACTACAAAAACAAAAAATATATATGGCGTAAGAACCAAGCTGAGATTCATGAGAGATTGTCTCAGAGACATGCTGACCATCCATTTGTCCAGATTCGACAGGTGAGACCACTGACGAGCTACAGACCCATCTAGAGCTCCCGAAACAATAGACTCACCCCCTCGTTTTGACTGAGGGCAAACATAAGACCCGGCCATGTGAAGACAAGCGCTCCACATGACAGACTACTTTGCGCAAGAACAGTTTCTTGTGTTGTTCAGTTTGTTTGTTTATTATTCAGTATCTTTAGAAAGATCCATGCCCCTCAAAAAAATTTAAGTTTTTAATATATGAAAATTTTTTTCTCTTGACCAAGTAAAACTAGTTCTTTTAATGTAAGAATTGTGAAAAAAAATCACTATGTTTTTCCAAGTTATAGCTTTATTCATAGGATGCTCAGAGCTTAAATTTTAAGTTCAAACCTCCTAATGCCAAGTATATTTCTATAACTAACCTCCTTTTCGTTGCACACGTCTCTTGTGCTTTCACTCTATTCAGCAGCTTATTTTAAGGGACATCCGTGTCCTTGGAAAGTAGGTGGGTCATGAAAATAAGTGAATGAGAGATTAGTTATAAACGACACGCTACAGACCACTCACAATGAAAATAAGTCTTTCCAGAGAAAAGGAGTATAATCTGGCTAGGTTTTGACTGCTTTATAATGTACTTTAATCAGACTCCAAATACCAACGACTGTGCAAGCTGAAAACCAAAAAATGTTTCTTAAAGTGTTAAAAATTAGGACACCTGGTTACACACTGAACTCAGAAAAGCAAAAAAAAGCAAACGAAAATCGATCGCATCCTTATATTTCTAGAAGCAACATGCAGGATAATTCGTCTAATGCCGCCAAGGTGAGGTAGAGCCAAAGGTCAAACTAACCTTCTTCCTCGTTTTCTGTCTAAGTCAGAATACACAGGAATAAAGAAAAAGTTTCCATGCAGAAATTTCACCATAAACCTCTGCTAGACAATAATGCCTGGGTACCTCTGTCCTTCACATTCCATCAGCTACCATATAAATCAAATTCTGTACAAGACTGCAATGGTATCTTTACTCAGTAATTAGGTAGGAAAATGAGAAGAAAAGAAAGATGGGGTAAAAGTTGCCTGGACCATTGCATGGTCTTAACACTAAGGTTTCTGGTCTTCTCTTCTAATATTTTATATGTCAGAAGGTAAGAGAAGAATTTAGGAAGTTTTTGAAAAGCCCCAAATATCCTTTTGTTGTAATCTCACTAAAATATGTATTTCAACCAAATTAATGAGTGAACTTGTCAGTAATACCAGTGAACAGAAAATACAAGGAAGTGTTCCTACCTTTCACAGCCAGCTGACAAAATGGTAATTGTGGTCCTCCTCGGAAAATTTTATACCTGCCCACTATTTTGGACATGCTCTGTTAAGTAATGAAAAGTCAGTGTCCTACTTATTCTCAAGTTCATATTAAATACACGCCGCAAAATATCTGCCCTAAACAAATTCTACTTTTGTACTTGACTAGTAAGCTTCGAGCCAAAAAACCAAACCAAACGGGAAGGGGAGGAGGAGAATCTCTGAACCAGAAAAGCCAGAACTTCTACATGTTTCGTGTGTTGCCTTCTATACGCCGTTAGTGACCAACGTTAAGTTTCAACGTTTGTTATTTGTTCAGTAACATATTACTCACCCGTCTGAACACGATGGTGTAAAATTTTAACTACCACAGACACATATCTTTTTCTCCCCCCAAACTGACATCTCCCTTTGTGTCCTCATATATTCGTGCAAAAGACCCACTTCTGCTTGCCAGAAATGTTTATGCATTCATTACAGATTCAACATTACAGGAAAAGAAATCTCGTATTTGGTGTTAATCCTCATAACTCCAAAACACTGCATACAGCATTTACTCCGGCGCTAAGGCCTCAGGCTTATCAGCAATTTCTTGACATGCTCAGGGTATAAAATATCTTACCTTACCTAAGCAGATGAGCTAGGAACCACAGAAGCACAGTCTTGAGTATTACACTGCTGCCATCTTTACTAGGTTTTTTTTTTTTTTTTTTTTTTTTTTTTTTGTTCGGGCCCTTCGGATTAAATTAGCTTAAAGGGATCTAGTTTGGATGAATACCAAACTAATTGCAATAGTATAAAAGTCTCTCCTTTAAGTCTCTCCTGCAAATCTTATAACCCCATCAAGATGTTTTACCTTTATAAGCGGTCATTTTTTTTTTATGTTCAAATTACTTTCTAGTGTCCATTTTGCACTTTTAGTATTCTTTGCAGGCATCGGCAGGCGGACTCTCAACCACTGCGCCACCAGGGAAGCCCCTTTACTAGGTATTTTTAATCTCTGAAGAATTTTAGCTACAACCTCATCAGCAAACGTTTCAAGCGAAGTGCTGTATCAAAGTCATTTTTTTTCCTAGAGAAGAAAACAGGCAGGGAAGATGAGAGGGGAGAAAAGGTAATTTACCTGCATCAATTTTCTCGAGAGCTCATTAGTGAGGAACTCTTCTTCCTTCTCATAATTTACAGCAAGGGTTTCTTTCTCCTTCTGCAAAGCCTGAATTTTCTTGAATAAAGTGTTACTGATGAATTCTTCTTCCTGCTCAGCCCGGGCTTGCTGTTAAAATAAAAAAAGAGAACAAAAAAAATATGTTAAGGAAACAGGAATTTACTAATTGAAATATAGTTCTTATTTCCAGAGAGGGCACCCATTTTAATTAGAGCTCTGTTTACAACTCTCCGCATCCCAAAGGTTCAGAGTTGAAATATCTAGGCAACATTTTTACTGAAGCAGAAAAGTATCTCTCGCTTAAAAGTGAAATCGTGAAATCATGTCATCTCTTTAAGATGTTACTGAAAGGGTTTCGATACGCAATTTAAAAAGCGATACAGATAGACATAGATTAATTTACATGTTCGTTGAATAGTTGCTGGAAGGAAACACAGCAAATGGCTAAAAAGTAGTTAACTGCAAAGCAGCAAGAATCCAGGGAGTGAAGGGTAAGGATGGATGAGAGTGTCATTTTTCACTTATTTATTTCCCTACTGGGAATTTTCTGGAGCTGAGGGCACAGACAGGCATTACTGAGCATTAAAAACAGAAGAAAAGGGGATCAGGCATAATTCAATGGAGATGAAAATATTTTTCCGCAGATCCCTTCCACCACCTATGTTCTAACAGAATAAACAGAAAAACCAGCCATCCTTGAAGGAAATTAATCTTTTCAGAAAAAGGGTACTTCTTTCAAATGGACTCAACTCTATTCAAAGTACTTTTTAAACTGCAACATTTTGATGTGTTAATCCCCAATAATGCATTCCTGTTTCATCTGCCAAGTCCAGGAAGGGAGAACTGCAATCAATTCCAAGCCTCCAGTACCTGTCACTTATAATAATACAAGAGAGCTAGAGGGCAGGAGACAAAAGGGCACCTACATTAAACAGTTACCACCTTTTATTGTAAAAGGTCCGCCAACCACTCCCAACTCAGCTGGTTTGGATTTCTGTACATACGCACTGACTTCCCCGACACCCAGGCCCCCCTAGAGCCCTGATTTCTGGGGAGCCCATCCTCCCTGCTCCCCATGATAGCAGCAGAGAGAAGGACGCCAGGGCCTGGAACTGCCTGCCAAGCAAATCTACCAAAGAAAGCCACGTGTATGTAGTACTTAGACTGAAAAACAGAGCTACGTAGAAAATGGAAACTTCAGGAGGAGGTGTTGCAGTCCAGTTCTTTAAGACAGCATTTTAGGATAGGCCGGGAGACGTGAACAGCAAAGAACACACCACTCAGCTAATAAGGTTTTATGACCAGCCAAGCACATCCGGGGAGCAGGCCCTAGGTTCCCAGGCCCTTACACACTCTGTAATTCATTAGCACTTCTCAAGGTCATACTCTTTACTCCATGGTCAAGGGAACACCGCCCAGGACTGGCACTTCCCCTCCCCTTTAAATTAACCTCCAACTCGGCTTCAAAACTCTCTCTTGATGAGACCTCAAGATCTCATCCTAGTGCAATGGGCAGGAATCCAAAGCATTTCTTTCAGGCATATCTGACACACATATCCAAGCCCGCAATCTGTCTGAGCTACCTGTTTTTCTGGTTTTGACTGACAAAGTTCTATATGATTTGGATTCTGATTATTTTAAAAGCTACAGGACAAAAATGGTAGAGAGGGGAACTGTAATGCCTTTGCAGGTGACTGTACACTTAGATTTCAAAAAGGTTTGCCATAAATTCATTTCGTTATCAAGTCAGACTCAACTTCTTGCCTATTACCAGGCATTCCCTATGTTGAATGACTGGGAAATTTACCCACAGACAGTAATAGAGAACCAGACTCAGAGGCCCAGCAGACCACCTCCCCCTGTGCACAAGGACCCAGAAGTGAGAAGCTGAGAATAAGAGGCCAGGCCCTAAGGGTTTATTCATGAAACTTCCACCTCGGCCCCTCACCCTTCCCATATTTTATCCAATCATTAAGTTACAGGGGTAACAGGTCTCAGTGTAATATAAAACAAAACTCTGTGATAGAAAATAGATTAGTAGTTGCCAGGGGCTGGGAGGGGTGGAGGTGGGAGAACAGGGAATGGCTGCTTCTGAGTACAGGGATTTTTCTGGGGTGTCGAAAATGGTGTGGAATTAGACAGTGCTAATAGGGTTATGTAACCTGGTGAATATACTAAAAGCCAGCGAACTGTACACTTGAAAATGGTGAATTTTTATGGTATGTGAATGATAACTAGATTAAGGGAAACAACTCTAATAATTAACAGGGCCCTGTATTTCACAGAGCATTGGGTTTCCCTTGCAATTCTTCCCAGGGAAAGTAGCAAATTTTTTATAAAAAGGATCGGGAGGACTTCCCTGGTGGGCCAGTGGTTGAGACTCCGTGCTTCCACTGCAGGGGGCGTGGGTTCGATCCCTGGTCAGGGAACTAAGGTCCCACATACATGCCTTGCAGCCCGGCCAAAAAATAAAATAAATAAAAAGGATTCGGAGAGGGCGATGTTCAAGCTAGATCTGCTCTGAAAGTGCCTTCCAAAATGAGTGATGGTTGTGAGAGACTCGAGCTTTAGACAACAAAATTCTTCACCATTTTAGAGTAGCCACTTACTTCTAGGCAAAGCCCATTCATAGAAAACTCCACTCTCAGGACCCACCACCAGCATGAGGAACTGTTCTGTGGAAGCTAGTTAAAGCCTCTCTGGCTTAACAAGGGGTTAAGCAGGCCTGGCACAGATTTTGTTCAAGGCTTCATTTTGCTAAGGTTTAGCATGGGGACTGTCACTCTGCCTCCCACTGTCATCCCAGAGAAAAACCACACATCTGAAGGGCAAGACTCCAGGCCCTGGAAACATAAAACCCCAGTTCACCCTTTTTTCAACTGGTCACAGGGCACTGTTAGAAATTAACACGTAAATGAGGACAAAAGACAAGGTGCCATATCCTATACAGCCCCACAGAAAATTGGTTAAAAGACCAGCTCCAGGGGCTTCCCTGGTGGCTCAGTGGTTAAGGATCCGCCTGTCAATGCAGGGGACACGGGTTCGAGCCCTGGTCTGGGAAAAGCCCACATACCTCGGAGCAACGAAGCCCATGCGCCACAACTACTGATCCTGCGCTCTAGAGCCCGCGTGCCACAACTACTGAAGCCCGCGCGCCTAGAGCCTGTGCTCTGCAACAAGAGAAGCCACCGCAATGGGAAGCCCGCGCACAACAACGAAGAGTAGCCCCTGCCTGCTACAACTGGAGAAAGCCCAAGCACAGCAACGAAGACCCAATGCAGCCAAAAATAAATTAAAAAATTAAATCTTTAAAAGACCAGCTCTAGTGTACTAACAACCAGAGTAGGCACCATGCATCACAGACAAGCAGGAAGCATCCATTTGGAATTCTTCCTGCAGCTTTCTTCCCATTCTTTGTGCATTATCTTCTCAATCTTAATCTTAAATCCTAGCTTTTTCTTCCCCCTAAACTCCAAAACAGGCCTTTTTATTTAGGCTGTAAAACAAATTACCTTTCCAATTTATTTCCCCCAAGCCAAGAGCTAGGTAGACAATGGCCTAGGAGCAAAACAAGCCATGCGCCATTTGCAAGGAACTAGGGGTCAGGCAGGTAGACAGAGCAAAGATAAAACAGGCTAACATGGAATCTCATCAGTTTTATCAATCTATTTCCCTTTTATCTGCAATGCTTTTAAAATCAGCATACCTAAACAAATTCAAAACTAAAACTATATTTCCAAAGCTAAAATTTATTTTAAAATTTAAAATCAAGGTTTGCCTATAATTCCATAAACTCTCAAAAGAAAATGTGAAGCAAAAAATTAGGAACTCTTTGTTTTGCATACGTTTGTAGAGTTGAAGATTGGGAAAATCTGGGGGGAAATTTTTAAAAACCTGTGATTAGAGATATAGAGGACAAACTAGTGGTTACCAGTGGGGAGAGGGAAAGGGGGAAGGGGCATCAGAGGAGTAGGGAAGTAACAGGTACAAACAATTAGATATAAAATAAGCTACAAGGATATATTGTACAACATGGGGAATATAGCCAATATTTTATAATAACTATAAATGGAGTATAACTTTTTAAATTGTGACACCTGTAACTTAAATATAATATTACACAGTAACTACAGTTCAATTAAAAATATGATTATATTTTCATGTTCAATAAGGTTCTAACTGCTATGTTCAGAAGCAGAGTGAATGTTGGTACAACCTTATTCACTTATCGGTGTCTGCTACTTTGACCCTCACCCAGCAGGGATCACTCAATGTGTGATGTGAGGACTAGAGTACAAAGCAAGTCTCCATCACTCCTCCCCCATCCTCCAAGAGTCCAATTAAAAAAAAAAAAAAAGGAAAGGGAGAGACTTTTACTGAGCTGCCACCAACATGCACAGTGAAATGTGATGGGAACACACACACACACACACACACACACACACACACACACACACACACTTAGAAAAAATTCTTTTCTCGAGTCACCACATATTGAGGCCACCATACTCTAGGTGAGCACAATTTTCTGATAAGGAAATCATTCTCACACACTGCTCTCACAACTGGGGCACAAATTTGATAGGAGATTCCCATGTGATTGTTTAGTGCTTCTGCTCTTTATCAGTGGTATTTTGGTGATCAAGGGTTACTACAGAAAGGAGAATTCAAAAACTCACAACAATAGCACTGCTGAAAATCCAAGTACCAAGACCAAAATTATGTAAAATGATGCATCTCATCATCTGTCAAGAATAAAAAAAAGGACAGTTTCCAAAGCAAAAAAATATAGGCACTATCTATTTCATAGCAGGCATGGGCAAAGGATGTAATCAAGAGAAAGTTCAAGCGCCTACCAAGATAACACATTTGCATTTGTTTTAAAAAATTACTTTTAAGTTAAATGCTGACTTGCTTTAATAACAAAAAATCATAATAAATAATAAGATGCCTTGAAGCTCTAATGCTTAAGAATCCAGGCAGGCTCTATTAATTATTTTAATTATTTAAATTCCTTAAATTTAGGAACTAATTTAAATGTATTATTCTAATTACTTAAATTTATTATCCTGTTGCTTAGTCACTTACAGTGCAAATTTTAATGATCT